AACCCCATCCCTTCCCCCCCCCCCCCCCCCCTCTCGTGCACGTTGGGATAGCAGGTAGGCGACGAGCCGGAAACGCAGTCTCACTGTACCCACGTCCCTCTAGTCAGTGCAGCGTTCATGCCCTGTCGGGAATCGGGGACTCGTCCAGGTATGCACAAGGGGGCAGGTCCATTACGGTAGGACCGCATTGTGAGGATAACTGCACGCCATGTGCTTGACAAGTCTGTCACGAGGCCAAGTCACCTGTCAACAGTAACACCAGCGATATTGAGTGGCTTACTGTTCTTTCCCTCATGATGCTTATGAGAATAGAACCAGATCCTCGGATGAGCTAGTACGTGCTTTGGGTCCTCATGCACGGACCAGAAGATCATGAAAATCACGTTCTTCCGGGATTCCTAGCGTCAAAAGTCAATGGAGCTTTTTTTTTTTTTTTTAAATAATTATCATTCTCTCTCCATCTTATTTTTTGCTCTCGGGTCTTGAGGCGGTGTGGAATGGTCAGGCCAGGAGGAGTAAGGAGTAAGGGACTGAAGAAGAAGGGCCCAGAGGCACTGGTTTCGAGGTCTCTCGACTCCTGGCCCGGATACGGCAATAACCCGGAGCGAGTGAAGCGATGGTCCCGTCTCGAATATCCAATTGCCTCTCCTTCGCCTTGCCTGCCGACTGAAGGTTCCCAATTGATCCCCTCAGGCCAGTATATATATGCTGTACATATGTATTTTCGAATATCTGAATGACAAGTCGATATCCAAGCATGGCAGTGTGCACCCCAAAGAGCTCCCTGAAAGCTATATATTGCCGTGATCCTGACGTAGCATGGACCGCGCAACTAAGAAGCGCGGAAGCTCCTTTTTTCCCTCTGTTCGTCCCTTCCCTTCAAGGAGGCGTCCAATCGTATAAGAGTACAGATGACTCGTGGTGAGTGAGTTCATGGCCGGATGATCCGGCTGTATCGTTAGATGTCTGAGAATGGCAGTCTTCTCCCATTGAAAGAAAGGCCACCTTCGGAACGCGAAGAAAAATGTCTTTTGAGGCTTAGGGTTTGGTTAAACGAATCGTCTCTTGAAGTATTTCACTTGGTGCTCCCAAGCAAAACCTTTACTTTTCCGGAGTTCCCTTTTATCGCATTTTTTTAACGTCACGGGATTTTCCACTCTCGCCTAGAAACAAGCCCCGAACCCAGAACCTCTCGATTCAAGACAGATGGGCTAAGTTCCTTTCTTCGAGCTATGATCTCGAGCACCCTAATTATTGACGATTACAAAAGGGGGCCAGGCAAACGCTAATCTCTTGGTAAAGAAAAATCCCAAGGATTCTCGCAATGAAGCACGTTCATCTCGATGGAAGCCACGGCTGATCTCATGGGCGTCAGCTGCCTAACAGGACTGCAATAATCCGACCCTCCTAATTGCGTGACTTGCCACACATGCGATGAAGGTATGCGAACGTTGCCCCAGTTCTCCACTTTCGTCAAGAAATATATGGCGAGTTCGCGTAACTGCCGTCTCTCGTTCGGACCGCTTCATTCATAATTGTTTCGCCTATTAGGAATTATCTAGAGTAGGTTTCCCCGATTGCTCATTAATCACGAGCAGCGTGGAGTTATTTCCCCCTCATCTCATTCGAATTTATCATCAACCGTCTTTCCTTTTTCTCTCTCTCTTCCCTCGAGTGCTTGGTTAGGCTCATTTTTTCGTGCTCCACGTCGTTGTCTGTTATGAGGTAAGGAATGCCATTGCAATCGATGACGTGGAAGTGGCGGTTCCCATTGTGCTGTCTCGCCTTCTTCCCTTCTTCCCCCCAGTCAACCGTTGCGTTGCCGTTGGGAAATGAAGAATCCGGGCAGGGCCCATTCCTTCTAATTAGAGTTGATTCAAAAGGAATGTTGACACGTGAGAAAGAAGGCATGACAGAAAATCACGCACCGAGACCACTCCGCTCTTGCAAGGTCAAAGGAGAAGGAACCACGAAGGACGCGCTGGGCAATACTATCTAATTAGGGCTTGCTGGTTCCCTTGACCAGGTTACAGTTGTAAACAATTCGTGTTACGATCCGGTGTTTAAAAAATTCTCAGGAGCCAGTGCGACCTATTCGTAAGGATCAGAGAAAACAGGATCCTTTCTCTGTTAAGGTGGGGGATGAACTGGCGCCATCAAATAACTTTTCTCGTTTTTTTTTTTTAGAGGGAGAGCTTTCCCAGTATTAAGAAAAATGAGTTTCGTTATTGACAGATGATAGCAGATGCCATGGAGAAGAAAGTGCAGCGCTTGGAGAAGGACCTGGAGGAGATGAAGAGAAAGTACGAACTCCAGTGTCGACGTTCTCATCAGCTGGTCGAGGCATTCCAGCTCAAGATGCAGGAAAAAGAAACGGAGCTCCAGCGACTTAAAATCCTCCAGGATTGTCAGCTGAGGAACATCATCAAGAAACTTCTCCACGTTGAGGTGCAGCTCAGGAAGGAGAAAGTGTCGCTGACGAGATGCGTTCAGGAGAAGGAATCATGCATCCAGGAGCAACGAGAAGAACTCGAGCGGCTCAGAGGACTCCTGTGTTTACGGAAGAACGGTGTGACGAACTCGCGACTGAAGAGCAACCTTAAAAGCAAGAGTGATAGTGACATCGTTGCGGGGGATATGAAGATCGTCCGAGTCGGCTCCTCTGTGTCTTTCCTCTTGCAGAATGGAGGACGGAACGAGAGCGACGAAGAGGACACCAAGAGTGACTCAGACGCCTTCTGTGATGAACCAAAGAGTTCCATCATCGAGACCATCAACTGTGTGTTGAACGGGTCAAGTCCTAGTCCTAAACGGAGCCCGTGTAATGAGACTCAGTTGAATCAGACTGGCTTCCGTTACGGCAGCAAGGACAGTGGGATCGATTCTGAATCACCAAATTCTATGAGTGAGAAAAAAGATCAGCTGGACTTGATCGAAACGGAGCAAACCCAGAGTGAGACTGGTTTCCACATCCACCTCAAGGACGTTTCGGATCACATGGTGAGGCAGAACTTCGAGGAGTTCAAACTGGAGAACGTGGATGACAGTATCTCCAATTCCAGCATGGATGAAACGTGCGAGATCCCTTCGCCTCCGCGACAGTCCGGCGACGGGGAGCCAACCAGCCCCAACCAGCTCCCACCTGGACCTGATAGCGAAGATTATCGTAAGTTAATCCAGTTCCACGGCAGTTATGACAAGTTCCTGGAAGCGACGGGCTTGAGTCAGAAGTCCATCCTAACGCCGAGTCGCATCATGACCAATCACCGCTCCGTCACGAAACCCAAAGATGTGAAAAACAGGAGCCGATGGAAGGCTGCATCCAATACCTCGTCTCCCGAAGGTGATCCTCAGGAAAAGAACTTCGTCAAGTACTGGGCCGAGCCGAATTATTTGTGAGATTGCTGTCGTGCGATAGTGATGCCTTTCAGGGACCAGAGGATTGATTTTATGCCAAACAGAGCCAGGAGAATCAACGTTTCTTCCACTTCGTACACGAATGATCCCTGCTCTGATTTATCACCAAAGCCAACCCTGTTCACAAGGGTTATGAATTCATGCATTCCAGTGATTGTATTCTTTAGAGAATAAACCGGATTACGATATCGGGAATGGGGGTTCATGTTCGGGCTCATGCCATGTCTTGCAAATTCATTGCAAAACAAGGTCATTTTGAACGAGTCTTTCGTAAAGGAATGAGCACGGAGATTCATTACTGTGCCCGGCAGTGTCGGCACGAACACAATGCTTTTGTATGGGAACCAGGGAGAGTAACCATTGAGTTACGCGAAGGACAATCAGTCGTGACGCAATGACAAACACGAACTTGGTCAGACTTAAAATGGATATGGAGAGTACGGGTAATTCAATTGTCCCACTGGAAGGGGACAAAATGAGTGTTCTACATTTGGTCTTTCTTCATTATCGTGGGTGGATTTTCAGTGCTCTGAATCCAATATAACATGCTTGCTTCCCACCACATACGCCCACTATGCGTTTCCCCGACCTCTCAATCATAACCTAGGATTCAAAACTCTCAACATATGGCGATCCAAAAACATAACTATATTTTCCATATCAGGTGCAAGGGACACTAATATCCACCATAAAAATTTTTTAATACTAGTGTTAACCACAGCAGATGGAGTGGTATTTTGACTCTATTACCTGCTCCAATTGCACAGATATTCCCAATATAAGAGCAAGCAATGTACGACAATTTTCGACTTTCAGGCACCACATTTGACAATGAATCAACATTTTATAATTAATGCGAAAACAAATGATACTGCATCCATCGTTTTTTGGAAAGTAGCGTCAATTTCATACTCAAATCAGATGGCAGACAAACATTTTTGTACTTCTCATTTCTGTCTTCCATAATATTACCTCTAAGGATGAATGTAATGCTTGAGGCATAAGTGCAAGCTGTGATAAATTTAGTCATGTAGAGCTTTTTTTAATGGGAAAAGATTAGTACTAGCAGACCTGTTAGGCATCAAGTGGAATACACTGTTGGTTTGAAATGCTAAGAGCCAAACTTCCCATGAAGAAAAGCCTTCTCTTTTAAGGGTAAGGTTCATGAAGGGTAGATAATCTTGAACCCACCAGTCAGTCTGATATTCAAGGACAAGGCCAATCACAGGAAACACATATACAGGGTGGGTTAAAATAGTTTACCCATGACTACTTTCTTGCTACATCCCGATTAAGATACGCTCATGCAATTCAGAAGATCATTAATACCACTCTTCCCTGATCTAATGCACTTTTATTTCAAAGAAATACAAGAAATAGTCATACCCAAACATTTTTTTTGCAGTACAGGGTTGAAAATCTGTTGTGCAGAATGATTTTATTTCCCATGCAAGGATAAATCCTTCAAGCAGTGGCAGGCTATGCTAACAGCATTTGTAGAAGTTGAAGAGGGCATGGCATGTTGGGCATTACTTTTAAACTTTATTGGTAGTTTTATTCCTAATTTATTTATGCAATAAATTAAATATATTTATCAGTGCATGTTAATATAACAATTCTTGGGCAATGGCTATTATCTTTCATTTGCTTAAAAACATTATTTTGCAAGAATTATTTATTGTATTTCCTTGAAGTGCATTAGATCAGGGGTGGGTGATACTAATGATTCTCTAATTCCCTCAAGTATGCCTAATTTAGTATGGATGTAGCAATCAAATGAAAAAGGGTCACCCTGGCAGCTGTTCAATTTCTTGGATGATGCAAGTCAGTCAAATAAGCTCTCACATTATCACCAATGGCAAAAAATTCATATAACTAATGAGCAGGAAAAAAAACTTTTCCAAAGCCAAGACTTGAGCAAAGGCTTCAATATCCTTTGTTCAAGTCTTTTCAAGGGTTTTCTAGGAACCAGACTTTTTGGCTGCTATGAAAACTGGATTTTATTTTTCAGTGAAATAGGAAGCACAGATCTTTAAATGGACACCTGTTGTATCCTCCTGAGACCCATATAAGTTATAATGGCAATTTCTTATTGCCTTTATTATCATTAGCATAGTACAAGTCCATAGAAGGGGTATGTCCCAAACACTTAATTTTCATGTAAACCATCATCAAACTATAATCTAAACCAGGGATACCAGGAAGACAAGAGTTTCATCAGTCATATATTATGTTTAAAAAAATTCAATTTCCACAAATAAGCAGTTCTGACAACTTCACCCTGCCTCGTTCCCCTCTCTATTTCCCACCCATGACATATTTGGGCAACTTTCCATGTCATGCAGGAAAGCTTAGGCAAACAATATGTATATCATTTGAGATCACAATAATCCTGCTGCCATGGGTACAAAAGCATACATGGGATCAGCTTAAAGAGTTAAGCGAGCCTTCCCCTTCTTGCGAGTACTGTTACCAACATGACCCAACCTGATCTTCCTTCTTAGCAATCATGTAATCACTGATTAATATCCATCATGCTAGCAGAGGTGAGGATGAATCAAGATAATTAACCAGTCATGAGCTTCACTAGATTTTCAAGTTTTCCTGTAGACCTCCAGTTGCAGAAAGTGGGGGAACAAAAGATAGAAGAGTGGGTATGCTGAAGATGGGAGGAATTTGGGGGTACCAGAGGCTTCACACGAGAGTTTCTTCCCTTTCGAAGTACATCTTGGTCCATCAACTGGTAAATTCGTCTAGCAACTTGCTCTGATGGACTCAAGAAAGTCCCTTGAGGCAGCAAAATGATGCGTACATATCCAGGGGTGATTAAGGGAATGATGTAGTCCACCTGGTACAAGAAAGAGAACAAAGTAACTGAAGAGCTCAGAATCATGATGTTGGTTAACCTTCATATGACCCCTTGAGAGTTCATGACTTTTTGAAAAAAATACCATGCTTTCATGAAAAGCATCTATTTGCACATTTTACTAGCCTTTTCACTGGTATGAGAACAAAGTTTCATTGGGTTTGTATAAGTATAATCCCTTATGTGAGCAAAGTGAGCAAGTAAGTTAAAATAATCTCAAAATTGCCCTTGAATTAGAAATTAACCTAATAACTCACTTGTTGGAACCATTTGTTGATGCAACCAACAGGGTCAGCATCCATATACTGCTCCACATGAAGCTCATGGATTAGCAGACATGAAATAGGAGGATCTTGAGACCTGAGAAAACGTGCAACTGACAAGCACTCCTCAAAGCCATCATCTGCATGTGTGATCAGAACTACTCTCCTCTTGTGGAATGCTTTCTGTCCTAACTTCTCTGCCTCCACCATGGGTATCCTCTCTTGGACATTTTCCTTCTGGATAGAACATCATGAAATGAAGTCCCTTGTCAACTCCTGGCAATAAGGAATTTCAGCACATGAAGGCAATTGCACCTGATGGAGCTTCATACCTGAGGTAAATTTGGAATGACTTGATCCAGTCCAAAGAGTCCTTACATGTTTAGGACTTAATAAATGGTTTGACAATTGCCTAATTGGCAGATGTAAAATAGTTACAATTTACAATGGTATTCAGTGGACACAAAGTAAAAAAATGAACAAAGTCAAGTGTATTCTATTGTGTAATTCATTGTATCAAGTGGCACATGCATATGATGGGATACTCAAGTGGCTCAAACATACTGAAAAAGTGGGAAGGCATCCATTTACCTTCTTTCACACATTTAGCATGGCTCTGGAAAGGTGGTTTAACTCTGAAGCCACAATGGTCTTGCACTGCTTAGTATATTAACATGGAATGTATTATATCAAGGTAGCTCACCTGCCACTTCTGCAAATATGCATCACCCATTCCAGATGCAAAGTCAGGTTCCATATCTTTCCCAACTTCAAATGTAAAACTTTCATGTGTCATCACATCTGGTGATGAGTTACAAGTAATGCCATGAGCAATTATCTTCTTGTCATTTGCAACTGCTACATTCTCCAAGCACTCAACTGGCCTCATGGAGTCATAATCACTCAGAGACCTGTATTCTCCTATCACATCTATAAAAACAGAGGGAAGAGAAAGCATTTTCAAGTGTATTCTCCAAAATAAATAAATAGAATGCTATTCAAACATCTTCAAATCATTACTGCACCAATATTTCTACACACTAGACAGCTGGAATGATGCATCCTAAAGATGACACTTCCTAAAATAATAAGTGAAGATGTAGCATTACCTTGGACAACAGGAAAGATTATCCTGAGTATATCAGCTCTTTGGATGCCATGAAGAGCAGTGAGTAAGTCCATCATGGTCTTGCCTTTTTTTGCCATCCACTTCAATATCACTCCTGGTTGGTCTAATTCCAAGCTCATAGGGCGTTCCTTGAACATGTTCTCAATACACTGTCAGGATAAAAGCAAAACATTGACACAGAGGAATACTGGGATCATGGCATCCATATACAGACATATATTTTCTTTAGACTGAATGCTTCACCAACTCAGGCTTACCATAACTTCCTCATGCTTCAGACCGACGGCATCAGCAAAATTTTCCCAATGGCCACCACTTATCTTGGAGACTGAAATTAACTTGTTACGGATGAGGGCAGCCAGTTTATCCCCTGACTTTGATTGGAGAACCCTGAATAATGGGAGGTTCTCAAGGACTGAAACATATGGACAGAAGGCATCCATCTGCAAACAAAGATTGCATGTGGGACTCATATTGATCATGAACATCACATGCTGTATGCTCTTGTCATAAGTTATCAAACATCATCATCTGACTAAGCTAAGACTTGAGACACAGCTGAAAATTACTTTGAGCTGCGATGAGAGTTCCCTGTTGACCCTGGGCTTCCCTGTCATTGAATGACAGGGAATAGTACACAGTGTTTAAAAAAAACTGTGCCAAATCATTTTCGCTATTAATGACAGTAAATTTTTTCAGATCAACTTAACTTTTTAAACACTGCATGTAGATAGAGGAAAGAAGGTATGTGCCAAATTTTAAGAAAACTGATCTATTGTATCATGTTCATTTCAAACTTGACATGTAAAACAGTGTGCAGTACAAGCTCAAAAAGAAAGTGCGAACTTGAATTTTTCATCAGAATTTTAGTAAATTTAATCCGATCAGCCCAATATTTCACAAACTGCATGTGGATAGATGAAAGAAGGCTTTTGCAAATTTTGAATGAAATTGACAATGTATCACGTGAGGGGTAACAATTGAATTAATGAAGTTACTTAAAGCTTTACTTTAGGTTTGAGAGAAGGCAGGACTTAAGAGAATGGTTGAATGCAAGTTCTGGAGAGATTAGCCTGGCAAGTAAGTTTAGATAATAACCCAGGCTCCAAAACAATATGCGCATCTTTCGTTTTTTGAGACGAAATTCCGGGAATCCGTCGTCACTAACATGAAAATAGATAAAATGCATGTAGGATTTGAAAAGCATATAATAAAGTACTTTCATTAAGTATGTAGAACCAACAAGTAAATTTCGATGGGTTCTCGCCATGGACACCATAAGCATATGGGCCAGGCACTGCTACAGCCGTGCACGCGGACATGGTGGATGTAGAATGACGTATATAGCGTGTCGTCTGATAGGTTTTATGGGTCTATCCTACAGAATGGTTTTCGCATTATCCTCCGTTCAGATTGTCTTGTCAGCCTCGTGTAGTATGCGTCCAAGAAATAGAGGGGCAATGGAGGGACACGAAGATTAAAAATTAAGGGCACCTTGACAGACGGTGATTTTGTGTGGCAGGTGCGATGGGAAACGGGACCTGGAGCGAACGACCCAATGAGCGATGAGCATCCGCGGAGTGAATATGGCTGCCGTGGAGATGTGGTTTGTGTTTCTTTTCCGTTCCAAGTATCGCAGAAAGTTTTCCACTCAACGCATCTGCTCATGTATCAAAGTGATACTGACATTCTTTCTGCTGAACTTCTTCCTGACTGTGATTCTTCTTGGAACGAAGGCTCTGGAGTCCACAGGGAATGGCCCTGATAGAACTCTTGAAAATATCTCCCAAAAGTTGTCAGAACAAACCCCTACCAATCACTGTTTCAATGGTTTGTGGAAGAATGACACTTGTATTTGCTCCTATGGCTGGACAGGAGTGACATGCAATCACTGTGTGGGAAGAGTCCGGTGAGCATGAAATACGTTCATTAGTCTGCCTTTGTCTAGCCCACTGGCCTATCGTAGGCTTATACCGAAGCGATGTTGCGTAATAGCGTAATAATAAGAACCAATAGCCTCTTCATAACGCCAAACTTGCAATTTTTCTAGTATTTTTATATTTATTAATTCTAGTATATTTATTAATGATTATGGAATTGCATCGGTTAGATGATTATAATGTATCCTGTGAATCTCCTTGTCTTATCCTTTAGTATGGCGAGTGCAGAAGGCCAAATCACTGATGGAATTGGAAACTATTCCCTGGACCGACGTTGCAGTTGGCTAGTTGATGCTGGGGAGCCAGGAAATTCTATTCTCCTAAGGCTGGAGCATTTTGCTACAGAATGTAGCTGGGATCATCTCTATATCTATGATGGAGATGGAGTAGAAGCTCCTGTTCTAGGAATCTACAGGTAGGGGTGAATTACCCCATTTTGAAGTAAAAGTAAACCAAGTATTTATAACAATTAACCTATCAATGTAGAGCCAAGGCCTGTTCAGCTAAAAGTTGGCCTGGTGTGGTTGATTAACTGTTAGCATAAACAGTTGCCCAGCAACTGTCTGCACATCATTGCTGCAGGGAGTAAACTTACCGATGGAGAGTAGCCCAATAGGTGTAGACCTAAGCATAAAACCTATCCTTAGCCCAAGCTTGGGCTAGCTGAAAGTTTAACTTGCATTCTCTGTGTCAAGTGTACCACAGTTGGTGGTACTCCAGATTGAAGACAGATCCTGGAATTTCTCTATCAAACTAAAACTTTGGCAGAATAGGCATTGTGATAAGGGGAATCTAATAGAGATATGGTTATTGCACTGAGGGGTAAAAGGACAAAGATTTACAACACTGGATTTGTTCATGGCTTTTACAGTAAGCATGACGACAGAGTTTGCTTCATTGCGGGACCTCCTCCTCCTGCTTGGTATCTCCAATTGTTTAGGGAGCACACGGTCAATGATGTAGAGAGCGATTTGCTCTCTAATTTGGTGACTGTGAGAAGTGTTTTGGTAGGCAGCAGAACCATTCCTGGAACCATCTTAATGAGAACAGAGGTGCTCAAGGACTCAAATCATGGCTTGTTGCTGGAAGATGATTGGTAGTATTCCGAGACGAAGGTGGAATGTGGCAGGTAGGGAAGGATAAGTAGCAAACTACCCCAGAAGCAGTGCAGATTGGCCCAGAGCTCTTTGTAAGTTGAAAGGTCAAATTGCAGCCATTCCAATAGCTGTTGATAGACATGACCGTAGTGGGAAAATGGGTCAACATCCAGAGGGCAGAAAAGTAGGAAGGACTGCTTAAAACACAGTAAACTGTACACCAACAGCCTCCCTGGATCAGGCCCTTCATGGCTATGTATGTTACTCCACCTGTTTCAGATATCTGGATTTGGCGAGGAGTGAGATTGCCACCGAAATGGGGGGGTTTTGGTACACTTTACTCAGAGAATGATTGTTTAAGAGAAACCTATGTGAGGTCAGAGCCCATGCCTGGGCTTAATACCCCCATCCAGTGTTTGGCCTAACAGTAATCAGTAATTATGAAATTCCATCAACTAATAGGCTACATATAGGGAGTGATCATGATATTGGTTAACTCTCCTTTCTGTGTGTGGACAATTGCCCTTAGTGCTGAGAGTCTGCTCTCTGCTCAGAGGACAGTTGACTTTCCATACTGGGTGACTCAGTGGAACAGACCTACCCATTTGACTTTAAGTGTGTTGAATAGATCCATCTTTATTTTGAGAAAGAGATGTCTAGCCTACCAGTAACAAGCAGAAGGAAGGTATTTCTATTTATAAGGTGAAAAAGTAATGGAAAAAAGAAAATGGCTGGAGTTTAGTTATGTTCTCAGAAAAGCAATGTTTGACTACCTTTTCAACTCTAGATTAAGATGGTGTTAACCATCTCTTGCTTCCCAAAAACCTTGAGTTTCAGGACTTCTCTCCACACCACTTCTCTAAGGTCCATTGATGGAGTGGTTTACTTAGTAAGATTGCTGGTATGGCATGGGACTGGTATATAATTATTGTTTAGCAATGAATCATTCTCAAGCCATCATGGAATGGCTTCTTGTATGGTGGTCAGGCCTATTTTTTAAATACTCTGAAACTTGGTGAGGAGTCATTTCAACCACGAGCATGGCAATGCAGGGATGGGTGCAATCTTTCAAGATCAGCAGAAATGTGAAGTTATGGGTTTATTGAAAGGAAGATATACGATTGCATAATTAGAAAATTATGGCCTGATAAAGTGTAGCTGGATGTCTTGCATAATCATTTGATTCAAAGTAATATCACTAATTGTGGATAAAAATAACCTTACTGATTTCTTCTTGTTCATATCCTGTTTCTCTCAACCACAGCTCTTTCCTTAGCCCACAATGTTCATGTCCCCTACCTTTTTCTCCTAGCCCTTCCATTTGCTGCCCTCTTTTTTCCTTATCACTTTTGCTTACATACCTTTTCACCCTTTTCTCATAAGTTTATTTGCAAACTTCTTAGGTGAAATTTTTATTTTATTTTATTTTTTTACAGATGAAACCATGATTGTTTGATTGCAAAGAGCATGGAGTCTTCAGTATTTATCACAAGATTGTTATTGATATCTCAGAAATGCCAGGATTGACTCAACTAAAACCTATATTCCCAGCCACAGTTATTTTTCCTGTGAATGCTAGATTGACTGAAATTAATTTTAATCCATTCCTTGATTAAGTCACCATGTCTCACAGGCCAAAATGATATGTCTTATTCTTAATTTAAAAAAAGGTGTAATTATGAACTTTGCCATTCTGACTGATCTGATTGCAGACAAAAACCGGGTATGTGTCGTAATCTCCAGGCCCGCATTGGTTCACATGTAATAAGTGCAATAGCAAGATTACAGGAAACAAAACAGAAATATCTGAAAATATTAATAGTGAATACAAACAGTATTAGGGTGGATTTTTGAACAGAGAACTATCCGATAATGCAGCTTTATTTACCGGATTTACAATGCATTTTCTCTGAAATAAAGCAGCATTATCGGATAATGCTCTGTTCAAAAATCCACTCTTAGTGTCCATAACAAAATAATTTCTCTAATATCTCTAGTATTCTATAGAGTGTCACAGTGGGTAGATTCCATCTGCATATGGAGCAGCATGGCTCGTGGAGAGATGCAAAGAGCTCTTGCACATCATCAGATGCCAAGGTTAAAAAAAAAAATAAAATTCCACATTCCAAGTTTTACACAAATTTAGTATTCTGTTGAGAGATGGAAACATTTACAGGAAGTCATGCACATGTACTCATGAATCTACATGAGCTGTGAGTGCTTGAATATTCTGAATATTATTGAATGTGTAACCACATGGAAAGTGTTTCTGAACTGAGGTGCCTTCTTGGTGTTGTGTAAGAGCTCTTTACTCTTTAGCACATTGGCTGCCAAGCAGAATTTTTAACATGAGAAATGTATAACTGGTAATGTTTTAGGCATCCAACATGTTAAAGTGGATTTTCTTAGGTATGATGGTGCTTTTTTTGCTATTTCCCACAAGAAGTGACTTGAAAAATATAAACTTTATAGAGCTAAGCTTTTCTTTTTTTTCTTTGGGGAAATATTCCATTCCCACCAACCTAGCACAGTCAAAATCTTTCAAGCTATGACTTGAAGAATGCTGGGGAAACTATAATTTGAAAAACTTTGAACATTTGTGTCATCTGTTAATCCCACAGGAAATATTCATGTATACATGTAGATAAAAATGCCAATTAAAATGGGATAGCTAATATGCAGAATTGAAGGATATTTCTCATGTTTATGAAGCTTGCCTTCATAGGTTTGGAAACTTGGTGAATTTTTAAATGCCTGCCCCTGGAATGGAATGGGAAGCCAAGCCACCTTATAAACATATATTTGAAAATCATAAAATATCTCAAAATGAAATGAGTGGCTGACATGTGATAAGGGTGATGGATGATGGGTCGTTTGGGCTATGTGTGTGCTTGCTGTGTAGATCATCAGAGGGATGGGATTTGGATATGTTGTATCATTCCAGAATGTACTATATGACTGCTGCTTATTTCTTCCCTAGTGGGATCCTGGTAGAGGGTGATACTCCAAAGGACAGGATTCCAGAGATATTGGCCACCTCTGGGCATGCCTTCTTGTACTTCTATAGTGATGCTGCATACAATTTAACTGGCTTCAACATCACTTATAAGTAAGCTATATTGTTGAAAACTCCCACAGGAACTTCAATACTTTGTGACGTGCAAAAGTATAATCCAATGACCACTTCTAAATGCAAAATTATCTTCCCAATTTGATGAAATAGGATAAATGGATGTCCCAGAGGAAGCTCAGACCTTGAGTGTTTTGGGAGGGGTGTGTGCCTGAGAGGAGTATGTACATGTGATGCTGGCTTCACTGGTCCTGCCTGTGAAAATCCCATTTGCTCTGATGACTGTGGTGGATCTGAACGTGGAAATTGTGATAAAGAAAACCATAAGTGTGTTTGTAAACCTGACTACAAAGGTCAGTACTATTGCTGAAATCTTTCTTTTGAGGGCATGAAACCTTGTTTTATTTTTTACTTCCTCCTACCTGATTTATTATCAGAAGACTATTGATACCCACCATTTGGAGAACATTAAATCTATGCCCTTTTGTCATTGAAGACGAACTGACAATTAATTTCCCATTTCATGTAAGTTACTCCCAATTTGCATACTCCCCCAGTCTTGGTCATGCCATTCAAGTGCTGGCCATGATGTGTGGCATTTGGTCACTGTGGAGAAGTAGGTATTTGCTTTCTTAGTGATGATTTCAAGGAGCCAGTTTCAAAGAAACCATAAACAATAGTTGCATTACTTATGGTTCATGGCAAGTTCATTCATTCTTTCATGAATAATGGTAGAAATAGAAAAATTCTATATTGTTGATTGAGATTCTTCAAGGGATAGATATGCTATGATCTCTTGAGCAACTTGGAATTTGAACTATTAGAATGAGGAGAACATGGTCTATCTGCTTTTTGGCAAGAAAGTGAAAGGTGGAGGAATGGAAAAACTAGATTTAAATGACAAGTTTTAAGAGAATTCCTGCCATTTGTTTGGATTGCCAGCTTCTCACTTTTGTGTGAATTCACACGATTAATTCTCAATATTTCCACTTCTCATTGCAGGGAAGGATTGTAGTCAGTTGGCAAACAACAGTTTTTGGGAAGAATTGGAAGTATCTTCCTTTGTGCCTGATGGAAGGGCATCTCATTCATCAGTGGTGTTTAGAGATGCTCTTTGGATCATTGGTATGTGCTCTTTTCAAGTTTTGTTTCTTGTGTATCATGATTGACAATGTTTATAGTAGTGATGCATTTTTAAGTAGAGCTTGCAAGCATCTATTGCTTTCAGCCAGCACCAGGTGGCACAAAAAAAAGTGTCATGTTTGATGCCTTATAAAATCTGTTGTGGATGATCTAGGTTCATATTTTCATATTACATTGGAAACACCACAAAATTTGTTTTATGAAAGTTTCATGTACCTAAGTTGTCTGAATAAGTATAGACAGTCGCTCAAAGTGGAGTCATGAAATGAACCTTTCTGGTGGATGGAGTTTCAGGACTGCTTGAATGATTTCTCTCCCTTGAGGTTATGAATATTGCTTTTTACGCCAGTTCTCATAGTAGTATTCTGCGCTGCATCGATTCTGATGCTACGATGTACAACAGTAGTACTATTCTATGATGTGTTGAATACTATGATGAGAACTGGCATAAAAAGCGGTATTTATGACATCAAGGTAGAGAAATCATCCGAGTGGTCCTGTAACTCCATCCTCCTCATGCGTTGAAAGGTCAATTTTATGACACTATTTTGGGCAACTTGATATTTATTCAGACAACTTAAGTTCATGAAACTTTCAGAAATAAATTTTGTGGTGTTTCCAACATAATGTGAAAATATCATGAACCTAGATCATCATCCAAAATGGATTTTATAAGGTGTCAAACATGATGCGTTTTTTTTTGCACCACCCGGTATAAGCCTCCTCCCCTTCAGTCTACATGCGGGAGTTCATATATAGCTGGATGGATGCATACTACATGTGCCTCAATAGACATAATCTTTTCTGTTAATACAATCATGTGAAATTTAAACCTAAGAAAACTGAATCGGTTGGAGATCTGGAAAAGCTTTATAATGCCAGTTTAAAGGTTTTTTTTATATACTGCTATGTTGATGTGCAAAATAATTTTATTAGATACATTAATGTATGAGTCTTAGAACAGGGCAGTTTAAGACACGGATGGACAACTTTCCTGTGATGAAAATACTGCAGAAGAGGGAAATTTTTTGTTTTCATTCTGGGATCATCCTTGGAAATCAAATACGGGCATGATATCTTGCACACAACATCTCTGTTGGAGAAGAAAATAAACTTTGAGTAGAATGGGGATAAATAGACTCCAAGAATTATATTTGCCTAATTTTTGCCTTAAACCCTGTAAAAAGCCAATGATTAAATGCACCTTTATCATACTTTCAGTTTTCAAGAGGAATTAGTGAATGAGAGAAAAAGTGGTCACTCTTAGCAAAACTACCTTCCAGTTAATGGACATACTCTGAATCTATTGTTTCATCCAACTATAGTGGTCACATGGAAAATCTAAATTAAATGAATAGTTTTTATTTTATTTTGTTGAGCAGAATCTTTAATATACCTTGAAATGATAAGAATGCATGGACAGGGCCATTATCAGGGAGAAGTTGCAGCATGTGTGAGAGGACATGCACAAAATGTTTGTACATTTAGTATATCTGAATTTCTATACTGGTTCATGATATTAACCTCACAGGTGGGGAGGACTTAACTGAGAAATCCCCTCAGTTCCTAGTGAGGTTTGACCTGACTGGTCGGGTATGGGAAACTGTCCACACTGTCAGTGAGAATTCTCCTCCATGGCGATATGGCCACTCTTCAGTTCTTCATGGAGTAAGGAAATCATCATCATTGTTTAGATATCTTATAGTATCAAAATGACATGGAAACATGCATTCCTAACTTGAATATTCTTTTGTAAATTTACTCATTACCAAAAAAAAGCAACTCCAAGAAGGTAAGAGATCTAGATGAAGTTTTGTTCAATAGCATATTGTGAAATCAATTAGAGCCTCAAGTGCATAGGATGAATATTCATGGAAAAACTTGCTGAACATTGGTATCTTGGGTATTCCATGTTTTTTGCTCATAACCTATCATTGTTCTCTGTCAGAACTGTTGGATGCCAAATGCTGCAGTTTGGTATGGATATTTGTTAGGACTGTCTGTATGAACTTGATGTTTAAATGCCACCATGTTTGAATGACCTATATTGAAGGTCATATAGCAGCTGAGATGACCATAAAAGAAAAGCATGGAGACCCTAGCTCCTTAAGTGGTACTGTATGTACTCATGACTTTCTGACTGTTTAGTGGTAGGGTTCTTCACTAGTAAGTTTGACAAGATATCAGGATTGATAAGGTGCAGCTGAATTGAAATTTTCAAAAGCACCTATAGATCAAAACAAGAATTTACGGTATTGAGATCAATACACCATCATAAAAAAACTAAGCAATGGAGAGGTAACAGATGGGACAATCCCCTTCCAACTTTCCTCAATCTCCCTATTGAAACTCCTACATGAGTCATCATGTATTATACCCTAAATCAAAGGAGACCTTCCAACCATTAGAAAATCATTGTGATTTGTGTGCAGTATTTTGAGCAATGAATGAGGAAAGAGAGGGCAATATCCACTCAAGCTCGGGGAGAGTTTTTTTTTTGGAATGATGTATTATATCTTTCTGAGAAATTTTCTCAGTAGGAATGCTTCAGCTTACAAAGTGAATCATTGGGAAGTAACACTTGATTAGGAACAAAGACAATCTTGAATGGGGTGTATCAGTGGAGTGCATCAGAGTTCCTCCTGCAATGTCTGCATGTTGGCAGAGTGATATCCACCTATGGGTCCAATGTGCTATAGTCCTTATCTGATTCATCAAGTCTATGATATAGAAGAAATTGAAAAGAACAGCCTCATAGTAGGCCTGCCTTCAGATGAGGAGCAAAGCAGTGTTCCTGACATGCATTCATTTTTGGAGAAATTGCCTTTGGAAAAAATTATTGCTTGCACTCCCATTTCATGTTGAATAACTTTATATGTCTTGGTTCTATTTTTCTCCCTATGTATTTCTTCATTTAACCTTACATGAACATACATCATTTTTGTGCTAAAGGGTCGCTAAAAATATAGCAGCCTTATAGGTTACAATTTCTTGCTTCTGGACCCTTCAAGTTTAAATAGATGTTTTGCAGTATCTCATCTGCTTCACATGCATCATAATTATTCAGAATCTAGTGCAAAATTATTAGGCATAGTTTTCAGTGCTTTATTTTTATTTATGCAGGACAAAATCTATATGTATGGGGGTGTTCTGCAAAATGGAGAAATTGTGGCAGACTTGTGGACATTTGATTTGACCTCCCACAATTGGGAATGGGTAAATGTGGCCAAAGGAACATGCTTGGATGCCCTTTGTGGACCATTACCTGCAACTGGCCATTCGGGGACTGTTGTCACCCATCAGGGGAAAATGCTGATCCTGTTTGGACATTCAGCACTCCATGGATTTCTCAACACAGTGCAGGAATATGACTTTGGTATTTGCTTCTCCTGTTCTGGTTGTGTTTGAGTTTCTCCTTATTGCCCTGGTTTATCTCTTATTGATTCTGTTTTTCCTTGTTGTCTAGGGACACGAGAGTGGAGCATTTTGGAGACCAGAGATGGAGGCATTTTTGGAAGATATGGGCACTCAAGTTCATATGATGAAGTAACAAGACTGGTTTATGTTCATGGTGGCCATGTGTCAACATCTTTTGATTCCTTCAAGATCATGGATAGTTTATACTCTTACAACCCTGACACAAAGGAATGGTCAGTCTCAGTAACATTTACAGTCTAATACCATGATTTTGGATTGAGGCTCACTGTTGGTTCTACATACCTGTCAGCCAACATCAAAATGGAAACTTCTGTTGATTGCGAGAGTGAGATATATGTTGCATGATGTTTGGTAGGTGCTGTTGTATGGCATATTGCTACAGGAGAGCCATGAAAGTGCATGATTGGCAACTGCTGGCATAGCCAATCCAAAGTCATAGTTACCATCATAGGTTGGCAAGTGGTGAATTTTAAAAACATTGTTTTTCCTTAGGCGTATCCTGCGATCAAGTGGATTCCCACGTTACCTCCATTCTTCTGTCTTTCTGCATGGACTGTTTCTGGTGTTTGGAGGGAATACACATAATGACACTGCCACTAGCAAGGGGGCTAAGTGTTATTCCCATGACTTGATGTCATATGACCCTGTCTGTGATCAATGGAAGTTCATCATTGCTCCTATAGAAGTTTCTGCTCATGGTGATCGATATGGTCACTCAGCATCTGTTTTTAATGGCTCCATGTAAGTTGTTTTATGCTTCAGTCTTGTTCAAGGTGCCAAGCCTTTCACATCAAATCCACAAGTCCAGTCTATTGCTAATATAGATATTGTGCTGATAAACTTTTTAAAGCATTCATGCCAACTGATTTTGATATAGAGGACATTTTCCTCTGCAATTATGGATGTAGCCAAGTAATATTACAGCAGTTTCACTACAAGGATAGTGCAGATAAGATCTTGTTAAGATCTGCTGGTTTCACTGGGTGTGTTCAGTTATAGCTTGAACCTCAGTATCAGACTTGACTGACTTGGGTATGTCGGCTCCCTCTTCTTTAGAATGTGTTGGTATCTTGGTTGGGCTTGTGAAAGTCGCACCAAAATTGAAAGCTTGCTTGGCTTGACAATCAAGAAGTCTGGTTTTCAGATATTTTTGCAGCTATGACAGCAATTACTTCTGCAGGAAACCCTTGCATATACAGAAAATGCATGGGAAAGGGGTTTCAGATATCTTACGTTTTTGAGCATGTAAGGTTTTTCCATTGCAAAGCAGAGCCCACTGATGACCCAACCCAGTGGCACACTCAGGATTTTCATCCTCAGTCTGTGTTGTTGGTTTTGGTGTGGTTTGATCCACTCTAAACTATGAAAATGAATTATGAGGAAATCCTGATTGCCCCACTCACTCAAGCAATAATAGAATACTCCCACCTCTCACAAGAAAGTTGTAACCATACTATTTGCCTTTGGAATATGGTAGTGAAGTATGTGGCTGCATTAGTGCACATGATTGCATCTATTAGATTCACCATGAGTCGATTCAGGGCTACATATTCATGTGAATACCAAGTAATTTTGCAACATGTTAAGATACATGGATTTCATTATTCTCTTCTCCTTAGGTTTGTGTTTGGTGGATTTGATAGCACCATGTTGAAGAACATCTTGTCATTCACTCCTGGTGTGTGTGAACAGTTCACATCCTATCAGTTGTGCATGAGATCCTCTATTGGCCGTGCTTGCACCTGGGAGAATGGGTTGTGTCGTGACAGACGAGGTACATCATCTCACAGGGCTGGCTGTATTCCTCAGGAGACCAACTCCTATGAAGCTCAATGCAAAGCCTTGGAAAGATGTGAACAGTGTCAGATGACTTCCATTGAATGTGTGTGGTGCTCTGTACCTGGTGGGCATGGATCATGCCATTATAGCAAATGCCCTGATGATGAAGGCTCCTTGCCTCTGACCTCATGTCATTCTGACTCCAATTCCAGTTCTCATGAATACCTTGGTAGTAGGTGCTTTGCTCTTCATAGTTGTCAATTGTGTCACTCTCAGCTACAATGTTCCTGGAGTACAGATGAAGATCGTCCATGTGTGCCCAAACGGGGCCATGCTGGTGAGCATTTTTCCATGGTTATTGGGAGGATTCCTACCATTTTTACTACAACTCATGTCATGATACCATTCTTCCATTAATTTCATGCTCCAAACATCCCTCTGAAAATAGGAATGATTTATTATACAAAGCTGATGAGTTTGTGGTTCAAGAGGCTGGAATGCTGACAAATAGGGAATATGATTTTGAAAAGTTACCTTTCATCCTCATTGTAGTTGGAAACTGTGGGATTCCATGCAGTTTGCAAAGCTCCTGTGAGAACTGTACCAGAAGTGGTTGCATGTGGAGCATAAATCACAGGAGGTGTGTAGATAGCAATGCATACACTCCTTCATTCCCTTATGGCCAGTGTATGGCTTGGACTCAGGCTGATTCTACGTGTCCACAGATTCTGCCTGGTGTGTTTATCCCTCATGATCTTGGTTGTTTCTTGCCCCAGAAATAAACCATGGAACAACTTTCTCATTGACATCTATGTGATTGACCGAAATTTTTTTATCCTTCCCTATAGGTCAAAGCACTTGCTCAGCACACAAAACATGTGAAACTTGTCAGGAATGGCCAGAATGTGGTTGGTGTGATGATGGTTCCAACACTGGCCTTGGTAGATGCCTTGAGGGAAGTCTTTCTCGATCATCTGGACCTGAAAACTGTCATCGAGGACTATGGTTCTTCACTGAGTGTCCAAGTTAGTCTCTTAGTTGATCTGTGATAAGAGAAATTTATCAGCTGACATAAGAATCCAAGCCCTTTATCTGCTACTTCTTTTCTCTGTGTTTCTTACCTTGTAAGTTTTTATTTTGATGCACCATGACTTGTGATACTTACAAGTGAAAATATGTTTTCGCTCTTGTCTTATTATGGAAGGGAAGGGCTGGATTGATTCTTGGACAGGTTCCTATTGTCCAGGAAAATCTCTTGTATATCTACTATGAGTGAGATTGTAACTTCTGTGATTGAGTTAACTTATTTTTAGCAGTTAAAGAAAGGGATATATTGATTCTCAACCTTTTTAATGGAATCTACCTCCCATTTGGCACTTCTAACACATGGATCCCCTCATACTCTCCTCCCTCTTTTCCTCAGGTTATAGCTTAATATAGATAAGTTGACTGCTGGGGTAAAGTGTATGACTAATGCTAGGTATTCAATGCTACTCTAACAGGAAAAATGACCTCAAGTGCAACAGCTGTTTGGATAATGCTTGATATCTTTGAATGGAACTCTTGGAAATAAAGATTTTTAATTTGCATAGCACCAGTCATATCAATGCTAATAGATGAAACAAAGGCAACCTTAGAAGTTATTGCTAATAGGCACAGTATAGGATAAGGACTTATAACTGAATGTTTTTTCTCCCTTCTCAGAATGTCAGTGTAATGGTCACAGTGTCTGTGTAAATGACACTGTCTGCAGACAACCATGTGATGACAGCACTGAAGGACTTCACTGTGACAAATGCACATCAGGATATTATGGAAATCCACTCAATGGAGGCAATTGCACAGGTAGGAGTCATGCAATTAAGTTGTGCTCTCCTATCATCATGACTTCATCCAATGAGAGAGTAACTCACCTTCCCCCATCTTTCTTGCAGCCTGTGACTGCAATGGCCATGGCATTGCATGCAACTCAGAAACTGGAGATTGCCTTTGTACCACTAAAGGTATTGTTGGGAAGCACTGTGAATTCTGCGACACTGAGGGGAAGTATCGAGGAGATCCTCTGAGTGGCACGTGCTTCTGTATGTTCTTGTCATGTCATGTTCTTTTCTCACTATTTGCATGATGACACATATTCATGCTTTATGAATGCATATCCTCCAATACAGATGAGCTCCAAGTGGATTTCCAGTTTACATTCAATCTTTCCAAAGAAGATGATAAGCACATAGATAGCATCAACTTTATGGTGACGCCTCATAAGCAAGACATAGATGCTGATTTCATCATCACTTGCTCATCAAATGCAAGCATGAATTTAACCTTCATCCGTAGTAAGTTTTGAGACTTTGGATACTCGTTCATTACAATAAAATGGCCACCCAAGAATTTTGGAACCCTGTGCTCAATTTTACTTCCAGATGATATGAAAGATGAAGTAGTGATTGAATCAATGCTGACATGCCCAGAGAAGGGTTCTTACAAGAGAGTGTTCATCTCAGCTGATTATGGCTTTGGGGATGCCATCCTGAATTCCACAATCAGGGTCTATATGTATGACCTGAAACCTCCCCTGTGGATCCAGGTTGCTTTTTCTCAACAGCCAAAGCTAAACCTTCTGCAATTCTTCATCACCTTCTCTTCGTGAGGATCTGAAATTCTTGCCTGATTGCATACTGCTTGGTTAAGTGCAACATTCAGGCCTAGGATGCTAGTGCTAGTGCATTTGCCAAGAAGCAAAGCAAAATCAATCTTGAGATGATTTCATTGAAAATTTCATTTGCCAATAGATGATATTCATACCAATGCAGTCCTTTTGTTAAATAATATCTTATGAATTTGCCTAGAATCAATTTTGTGCTGCAGGAACTTATTCATGTTATCCATGATACATTTGGATTTTGAAGGTGATGCTGAACTTGTTGCAGGTGCTTTCTTTCTTTGCTTGGCCTTGCTGGGATATTATGGAAGATTAAGCAGAAGTATGATCTATACCAGCGAAGGCAGAGGTTATTTGTAGAAATGGAAGCCATGGCCAGTCGTCCCTTCGCTCAAGTGGTTGTAGAAATAGTCCGTCCAGTTGATGATTACCTTCTCAACTCCTCTGCTCATCTCTTTGAAACAAGCAAGTCCAAAAAGGTCTGTTAGTACTTTCAGTGCCGTTTAGGATTTGTACTGTTAATATTATGCTGGAAGGAATGGTCCATCAGCAAAGGTTTTACCCTGCAAGAAACACCTGAGGTTCACTTTGGAAAATGTATACCTTGGTCTTCATTCTGTATCTCTTCTACAATTGATTTTCCTGTTCCTTGTCATCACAAAGTGTTGACTGAAATCATTCTCTTTGAAGTTTTCCTTTCTGTTTGTTCTTAAACAGTCATATGCCAGCCCAATTGCCTTGGAACCATGCGAAGGTGGAAAAGCTGCAATTCTTACCCTCCTTATCCAATTACCAACTGGTGATGAATCCTACACTCCTCCCAATGCATCTGGTAAATACAGATCTAATATTTTATGTTCAGGATGCTAGATGAACCACATTGATACCATATGGGTATATGATTGTTTATTAGGTGTGGCTGTTGGTTCTGCATTGGTGGCTTTGGGAAACCCTCGGAAAACAAGTGGAGAGAGTTTCTACAACAAAGTCCCTCCAGATGGCTCTGGAGGGAAAGCAAAGTCACGCAAGGGTGCCCTTTCATCCCCTTCAGATTCTTATGTATGAAAGAGACAATAGGAAAAATCGGTTCTTATTTATGTAACCATGACCAGTGAATTGAGAAAATTCTTGTGATCCTTTGTGGTGCTGGCACCTATTACATGTAGCAAGTCGAGGGCTGATAGTCCCTTACCCTTCTCCCTGCCTCCCTTCTTCCCTTCACCAGATGGTTGAAAAAAAGTTGGAAAAGTGATTATAATCCTTTTTACAAGGTCTGCAGAGTACTACTATATTGTGCTTCTGCTATCTGTGATTAAGATTTTATGTCTGATGATGCTTATGATGGTGTGCATAGAAATGCTCTGTTGGAATTGGTTCATCAAATAGAAGTTATGTGTGAGGCTGCAGGAGCATCAGATTGCTCCTGGTATGACTACCCAGAAACAAGAAGCAATATTACCCTAACATGAAGTAGCTGTGATTGCCAATAATGTCCCTTCTGAACAGCAGTGGATGTCGGTCTAAGTCACAGTCAGAAAGAAACACCAATAGTCGTGGTTTTATTGGAATGCACTCATTAACCAGATTATGCCAGTGTTGATTGTTCTGTTGGTGTGATTTCTTAGCTTGAACCAGTGCTTGGTAGAATGCTGAAACATATTCAGATTATTACTTACTGAAATCCATTACAGTGCACAAGTGCTAAGCTCCATTCTTTCATGGAATCAGCTGCTGTTCCTGAGCATAAAAATATTGTAATGGTGAAGGATAAGGCGAGGCAATGTGCCTGGGTCATTTGGGAGGAGTTCTCAAGTCTGTATTTCTCAAATCAATTGCTTGCTGTCATAACCATCCTTTCCTGTTCCTTTATTTGCTCTTTTGAATAAGTCTCCTTAGCTTACCATGTACCCATGGAAGACACAATTCTCACTGTTCAGTCTTAAGTTCCATATGTTAGCCCTCGTATATGTTAATTTTAGCAACATTTCTTCCTACACTCTCAGCAGGTGATAACTTTTCCTGTTAGAGATGATAGTGTAGTAGCAACTTGAATCCCCAATTTATAAAAGAAAGCAGGATATCCCAGAGTTCACTTTACCATTTTAAAAATAATTACTTAACAGATGATAGTGACAGAGTACTTGCAAAAAGACAATTTCTTGGGTTATTGATGAAGCAAAGTTGAAACTGTCCCCTTAAATTATACAACATTAATGTGGCCTCCACTGATATCTATGCAATTTGTGTAACTATAGTGGACACATGCAAAACCCTTTCCTATCAATTGGAGGAGTTGCCATTTCTGCTATGATATAATCTTCAAGCCTGGAATGTCTCAAAGCATAAAATAACTTTAAATTCCTTTCTTTTAAAGTTTGTATGACAAAGAGCCAAAACAGCCACATTTGAAAGGTAAAGAGAAACAATAAAATTTGTTGGAATACAAGTGAGAACTTTTTTCTAAAGACATGGATGAACTGGCCATTATATTTTTGCAGATATATTTTAAACCTGTGGAAAGACTAAAGAAATCTGTGGACAGGTCTTATTGGTTCATAATGGAGGCCTGCATGGGTCAAATTTTAAATAGTAATCCTACATGATCAACCCAATTTGAATCTTGGTCCACTCCTGATCCAAAATGCAATTGCTGACTGAGCTTCATGGTCCAACCCAACTTGAGCACACAAAAAACCTTTTGCCATGAACTCTTACCCGTCATCATTCCAAGTTGCTATGGGTAAAAAGAAATTACCCACCACCTCTGGCCTTAAATCATTCTCCTTTGCATATATTGGTTGCATAAGTAAGGTTCTATTCCAGATGAAGTAGTCCAGAGTCTCAGCTTAGAGGTAAGATGGAAAAGAAAAATCTGAAAGCTATTAAACTTGACCTCAGGAGGAATCTGAATAATTTTGCTCATAAATGGCCTGCAGTTCAGCTTGGACCAATTGGGCTGGCTTGCAGCTTGGACAGGGCTTGAAAGCATAGCCTAATAATTAGTAATAGCTAGTTGTTGTCCTAGGAAGTAAATTACTCATAAAGTAATGTGTGACTTGATCTTACTTTTGGAACTAGAGAACTTTTTACACAATTACTATTCCTAAGTAACTTGAACTAAATATGAGTAAGTTGAGTTTCTGTCTTGTTCTTCTCAATACTAGGGATATGAACCAACTGCTAGAGCTAAGTCAGAATTGTCAAATTTCTCAGTAAGAAATTAATTCATTTGGCCTGGCTGGTTCTTGATAGAATGGTGAACTCCGTGTCAGCTAACAAGCTGTCCTTGCTTTTGTATTGTATGCTTTCATTGTACAATTAGTAGCATAACTTAACTTATAGTTAAGGGAATCACCTTGTCCCTATTACATGAATCTTTTTTAATAGCTTGTAAGTTGCCTCTTTTTTTTTACTTAACATTGTTACTTTTCCAATAAATTTTACGAATCTTAGCACAGTATCTGTCTACTGGAAGCAATGTGAAATGTAAAAATTTATTGGTAAAAGTGAAGTCTAGGGTATCCTGTTGAAACTCAAGTCAAATGAAGGGGTCATAGATTTTAAATGTATGAATGTTAATTGTGGTAAAGCACCAACACCACCTATGTATCCTCAAAGAAACCAAAATATTACCTCTTTGTGTGGTGCAGTGAATGGCTGGTGCCACTGTATCTGAACTCTCATGTTTCCTCTTACTCTTGTGAGCAATATACTTTTTGCTCCCTGGATTGGTAGGCATGAAAAGAGTTGAGATGGAAGTTCTGACTCCTCTTTCACTCTCCATGTTCTACTTTTCTGGGAGAGGTCTCCATCAGGTGGAGATTGACAGAAATTCACATCTCAGAACTACTTCAATCTTGCAGTCTCGTGTTTTCTATTCATCCCTGGAATTTTAAAAGATGATGAGAAAATGGGTTCTCAGGTCCTGTTTTATATTACTTTGCTTGAATTCCTTATCCAGTAATTGAGAACCAGACTGCATCCCTAGTCTGTACCATAATCACTGCTTTAACACTAAAAACAGAAAAGTGATGTAGCCATAAGACTTAGCATGAAAGGATATTTTGAGGTTTCATACCTTGCAGAATTAGCCCTTCCTACTCCCACTTGCCAAGGAATATATTATTATTAATAGTAATGGATCATCACTGTTCACATTACCCTAAATTTGCACATAAAATTTGCAAATTGTCTTGTTAATAGAAAGAAGTAGACATGCTCTCCATCTTTGATAGCTAGCAGTCATGCTGTCATATACTGTGGTTGCAGTGTTTTAGGACAGGTAGGTTCATTGAGAAGTTTGAGCTATTCAAATATTCTACTACTACTTTTTAGAGCCTCATCCTGGAGGCCTTCATCTCCAGTTTTTGGTGAAGGGCATAGAAGCTGGGACATGAGGATTCTTTATTCCACAAATTCTGGAAAGTCTCAAGTTTTAGCTAGCTATGTTTTGTTGGTCATGCCATGGTGTGCTGCAGGTGACTATCTTAACATCTGCAGCTTTCCTCAAGGATGGCATGCATGAACTACTGAATGATACCTTTTAGTAGGCTCACAGAATTTTCATATTTGCCTTTCTAGTCGATGCCAAGAAAAGTGAGAGGTTTACATTATGTATGCATCTTGTGTCTGATATGTATGTGGATTTTAGTGGTGCATTATTTTGCTCCCCATTCAGTAGTTAATCTTTCTATCTGTGATTGCTCTTGGGGATTTGTGGTTATCCTTTTCAGTTCCTATTTCCCAATGAGCTTATGCATCTTGTAAGTACTTGCAATTGAACCCCAATGAGATTCATGAACTGAAAGGGGGGGTAAGTTCCAAGGCTGTTGAAGGTAGGCTTAAGTTTAACAAACTTTTTATTAACTTTCAATGTAGACCAGTGGTGTCAGGCAAGAGGGGTCCTGGAGAAGTGCATGTTTCATAGCTTTTCTCATGCATTTGGTTTTTGGCATAGAGCACAAGGAAGAGGATTCCATTCTACTATTTATGGTTCATTTCCTGCATCTAAGCATTTATATAGCATGTCCAGTCCTATGAAGGACCACTATTAGTCCTCTAAGAACAGCAAAAGTCATTATTTGTCAATGCCCTCTTCCTCTCCCTTCTGCTACCCCCTCCCCCCCCTAAAAAAAAAACAGGTTCAAGACAAAAGCAAGGCACTGCACTGACGAACTTTGACAAGTTACAAGGAGTTTCTTTCCATTAAGTGTACTTGGTACTTTCTGGGATCAGACAACTTTAAGCCACTTCCATTCAGTAGCTACCATTCCAGACCTATGGAATACAATGCTAAGTGTAATTCACACATTTATGCTGGTAAAAAAGATTGAAACAAGGGCCAATAATTCAAGAATTTTCACCAATCCTCCAAATGCAAATCTGGTGCTTGTACAGCCCTTTTCGGGTAGAATTTCACTCCTTGGAATCCACTGGGCTGATTTCCTTTTGCCAAAGATTCATCTCAAGAACTATGAAACATGTCCACTGGCATGCAATCCATGTTAAAAGGGCAGAGTAGGATAGGCATATAGAAGACTGTCTCATGCTGCTACTTTATGCTTTTTCTCCATTCTTCCTAAGAACATGAAGTGCAAGGAGCATTTAATATCCAGTCTTACTGGGATTTTGCTGAATTGTGCAAGAGGAAAAATGCATGATGCTTGATAATAATCCATGGGAAGTCACATATATGATGCTCAAAGTTTCACTTAGCATTTTTCCTCCATTTAGGGTGTCCCCTCTTCTTGCACAATGCCACTGGTGTGGACAGTAGCTTCTCATCTGGGCATTCCTTGCATTCACAGTATTTTTTTCCAGTACACTGATGAGAGTTCATCTGATGCTCTCTATTTTTCCTTTCTCACATCCATTTGATGTAATTCCAACACTGATTTGATGTTTTGCTATTATATTGCTTCACTGTCATTGGATATTGTCTTAATTTTGCTTTCTTTAATGCTTTTATCTGAAACAGTATTGATGTTTCCCCTCTTGCTGACATTTCTCAAAACATCTCTTTATGAGGAAATGGTCCTCATATGATTCAATTGTGTCTTCCATTTGCCTTTGGAAACTAAAGGCATTCTTTCTCAGAATCAGCTTGAGAAAATTTTGCTTTAAGGCTTGGCTCAAAGAGGTTCAGTTGACAGTGTCCAGTTACAAGTGATGATTTTTTTGTAGCAAATTGAAGG